AGTATGAGTTACTCTTCAGTATTTTAGTCATTGAGGATATTAATAAAAGGTTGGAAGCTTAAATGTTTTCGTTTAATACTAGGAATTCAAGGCATCATTGCTCGCAAATACTATGAAGCTTTCGAGTTATAACCAATAGAATAAAGACCTAAATAGGTTTACGCATTTGTCAAAAATTTGGCTTATCGTAGTTCCATAAAAATAATTTAGAGAATTAAAGTTGAATTATTACCTAATTAGATTTAGAGTCTTAGTTCAAATCGTAATCAACTCTATGCCAATGAACACTGGTTAAGTTTTTCTATAGAAATGTAATAAGGTATCTATAAATTATTAACCTCCGAACTAAACTAAGTTGAATTATGGACGCAACAAGCAATAAGATAAGAGCAATTGTTCGTAACAGCAGAATTTATAAGCTTTCCTATAATATACTCAACAGTATCGATATTCAAATGATAAGAAGAACAAGATAGATTAATTTAAAATAGATTTTTATGAGCTCCTTTCGAGCCTTCATGAACTCCTTTTGATAAAGACTAATTTTAGTTATAAATTAATGAAGGAAAGTTAGAATCAAATAGACAAATCTTTCGACAAGTTTACAATAGATTCAATTAAGGATTTACTATGAATGTTAACTTAGGAATGTAGCAGTCAAATAATAAGGTCAATTAATTTCGTATTGCATATTTAAAAAACATGTTATTTTATTTATATGAAGACATTTATTTCGTTCGTTTATTCTATTTTTAACACAATGTGAGCCACTTACACCTTGCCGCTCCATTCGTTATTCTCCCTTCAGCCAACTGTGATGGCTACTTCGAAAATCCACTATTCCTTGCTCGGCTCAAAAAAGAGCGAAGGATCCAAGTTATCTCCTTCTTGCGCACAACTATCGTCTAATTTAATTTTAAATACACGTAGGCATTCTTTTTTTCAAGCAGCCTAGTCATAATTGTATGCTTGATGATAATTTCGATCATCGCTCTCTCTAGGTGCTGTTATTGGATAACTCAGAGCGAGGTAATTTATTTCATTTTAAATTTGAGGTGAAACATCGTTTTTCTGTTGATTTGGATAACCACGTTCTCCTGAAAGACGGAAAACCATTTCAATATGTATCGGGAAGCCTTCATTACTTTAGGATCCCAAGCATTTATTGGCTTGATAGACTTTTGAAAGCAAAATCAGCTGGACTTGACGCCATTCAAATGTTTGTCAGTTTTACTTGACATAATTACTGCATATCTTTTAATTTCTTACCTGTAGTGTATTTATGAGATCATATTTTAGAATAAAAAACCTCTTGACCTAAATCTTTTATTTTTGTTAAAGTTCTTTAGTATTTCATTTATTTTTCCA